AAGTGTGCAAGGCTGTCCCAATCTCTCTTCACGGGAGTGTTGTGTTTCACACTCTGAGCTCCTGAAGGGAGTGTTAATTTGGTCTTTAGCCTTGAAGGTCTGAGCGATCCTTGCTCCTGCTCCTGTCCTTTCTGCTTAAATCTATGCCCAGCTCTACAGCACCAAGTGGCACCAAGCGGTTTTAGTCTCTGAAAATTACCAAATATTCCCTTCGGTTATTTTTGTGTAGTAAACGATTCCCTTTCTTGTTTTCATAAGTAGCTAGCTGTGTGTTAATTTTGACACTTTTAAGACCATTTCCATTTGGAGTGAGTGGAGATTTCAGAATGTGTTTAATCTGCCTTGATAAATATTAGCTCTTCCTTAGCCTGGAGGAAGCTAAGACACTTTCCAGTCAATCTCATGCTGGGCTGTTAAGGCTCACCATGAAAAAGAAGTAGAAAGAGGGCTTTTGGACCTGAACACTTGAAGAGAGTTGGGAAGGATAAAGGCTGGAAGACGTGTGGGGGAAAGGGATGGGGAATGAGCAGTGCAAGTTGCAGTATGTATCATCCCAAAGTTAGTCCCATAATATGTCTGCAGTCCAGAAAGTGCCAGGGTATACAGACGGGGATCAGATCTGCTACGAGGAAGGTATTTGTGTGCTTAGTTGCTGTGTCACCACACAGAGCCAGTTCAAATTCTGTGGCCTGTAGACGACTATTCTGGGTAAAATTCCCCTACCACGAACTGAACCTCCCTCAGCCTGTGTATTGCAATCTCACCTGCCAAATGCCCAGCTACTACCTGAGGGGGACTATCACTCAGCCTGGACTTGACTGCTCACCTGGCAAACACCCCAGCCACTGTATCACGGAATCAAGAGGTTACAGGGTCTCCAAGCTCTCCCGTGACAAATGATTCAGTCTTCCTACACTCAATACCGACCTCCCTGTGCTAGTCCAGGAGACCTCTGGAAATTTAGTGTGTGTGGGAGGAGTTCCCATACTTGTATTTGGGGGCCAGGTAAAGATACCTTTGGATACTCTGAACTGGGAAAGATGGGTGATTTCACCCTGCTACATTATTACTGCCATCTACTCTCCCCTTCACCTCCAGCTCCTATTGGATACGTTCCCACAAGAGTTTCTGACAGACATACAGGTGAGGCTACAGATGCTCTCTAAAAAGCCCTACTTCTATTTTCCAAAGCTGCAGTTTCCAGAATCCACTTGTTCAGGACACAGTCTCCTTGACTTAGCTCACTTTCACTTTTTGGTCAACCTTTAGGTCTTGATGCTTTATTGACTCTATCTGGTTGGTTCTAAACCTACCATCACAACTGACTGCTCTCCAGGTCTTTCTCCGTGTCTGGTACCCTGATCCCTCACTCTGCTTTGGCTTCCCGAACTTTGTTCCTGATTCCACCCCAGCTAGGAGGGGGGTTTAGACATGTTTTTTATCTTTTTACAAAGATAAGCTTTTGGAGGAAAGCAAAGGGAAGAGGGTCAGGTAAACATTATTTCTTGACTACCAATTATGTACCAACTACTGTGCTTGAAGATTTAGGTAAATTTTTTTAATCCTTTCAACCAATATTGGAGTCAGATGTTATTAACCTTTAAAAAGATATCAAACACACTCCAGTTTATTTGATTTCCAAACAAAGGTGAAATGATCAAGGTCCTATAACCTAATAAAGACATCAAGATTTATTAACCAATTTATGAACCCAAAGTACTCATGTCTAACCAGCATCTAATGACCTTTTTGAAAATGAATTTACAAATGCATCACATTTCAGCTCCAGGGAAGCTCCCCCAGGCCTTCAAAGGCGTATACAACCATTTCTGTTTCAATCTTATTTTTAAGTAACAATATCTTATGTTTTATATGTCATTCGGTGTCTTTTTAAAGGTTAATTTGGAGTACAAAATTCTCAAGAAAAAGATACAATTACACAGTCGTACAAGAAAATATACGAGACACCTGTGTGTGATACATGAGTTTAATTCTCTCTCCATCTTTTACGTTCATCAAATTCTTTACTACCTCCCACAGTTTCTTAAAATGGCTTAGAAGGTGGATTGGTACCTTTGGTTATGTCCTGTTGACATTTTAGAGGTGTTAGAATATGTAGAGATAGTCACGAGTAACAGCAAAACCATTGGATATTTCAATGTGCTCTTTCAAGCATGTATTTAAGGGCACAAAAATCCTATGTTAGAGATAATCAGTGCATGTAGCTGGACTAAATTCATGCTAGTAACCAAGACATACCTTTCCCTATAGACCAAAATTATTTATAAACCATCATATATCTATAAAGAGAAGTGAGCACCCAACCAGGAGAGTGGAGGACACATCTGGAGGTCCTGAGTAGCAAGATCAACCCACATGCTCGTCAGAATGAAGAGGGAGAGTTTCTGCCTTCATTTACTTTTCTGGCATCTGACAGGAGACGGCTTAGGTGAGGTTGCTGACTACATTTCTGTGACCCTGATTCAAGCAGAAAATCCTTTGTAGATCCACAGAAAACATTGCCGTAACTCCGCAAATGGAAGAAGTGGTCAATGCAATTTAGAGGATGAATTAAATGGCTTTGCAATGGAAGTGTAGAGACTCTGGGCCACTGCTTTCGTGGATAACTTTTAGATCGTTTCAAGGTAGAAAGACACTTCTTAAAAACCATTTTATCCATCAGAAGCGTGAGAGATTTTTATTCTATGCCTTATAGATCAAATTGTCCTGAGGTTGGGCAAGAGAGAGTTGCCGCATGCTTATTTAACTGCAAGAAACTCCAAAACTTTTCTGTGTGCTTCTCTTAAAACACCACTGTTCTATATCCTGAGTCTTGTCTAAACCACATCAAATGGAATCTTTAGGCCATTTAAAGCTTCTGTGGACTTGAACCCAGAAACGGACTAACGTTTTTACTAGGAGCTCCCAACTTGGGGATACTTGCCTGAGGGTTTCTCTTCTCTGCTTTCTGTCACCATTCTTATGCCTTTCATTTCTGTATAAGTCCGTGATTAGGAATTATCACTAAGGACTGACAATTTATGAAAGATAGCCTCCAAAATAACCAATCATATGTGTGCAAGGCTCATTGTTTATGCATTCTTCTAATAGGGTTATTGTTTTCTTTCAAATAACCTTTCTATTAACTAGGGTTTCAGTCTAGCTTCAGTGTCAGCTGCTCAAGGTTGCCTTGAATTAAGAATTTGATGGAAGAACATCTATCAACTTAAATTTATTTGCATTTTATGCATGCTTTAAAAAGACCATATAGGCATATAATTAAATCTTTCTTAAACTGTTTACAGTGTTTGGATTCTAGCCTATATACAAGTTTCTCCTAAAGTCTCTTCCATTTTGTGGTAGTTAGATAAACCAGCTAAGCCTCCACTGCTGATTTCTCACCAATATTGGTAAACTTTTTCAGAATTTAAATCCACCTAAAGTAATCAATAGACATTAATAACTATCCTTTCTTTTAAATACCAGGGTCTACAATGCCTTGGTGGATGCAAAAGCAGAGAGGTCAGATCCATCTCCTGGCTGGGCGACATTTTGCGTCACTGATCCAACCCTTAAAGGGAGCCAGCTGTCTTACCTGGGATCCATGGATGAGTTTCACAGGGTATTCTGTGAATGTCCTAAAATTCAGTGCAAGTGTTTCCTATGTGAGAGTGTATATGGATTTTCACTTAAATTTTACCAAAAGAAGTCCCTTGGGTTCTGCAGGCAGAGTGCTTGAATTTATATCCCAATTCACCACTTGGCTGCATGACTTTGAACAAATTACTTAACCTCTCTCAGCTTCAATATTCTCAAAATTGCAGGAATGATCTTACAGGGCTGCTGTGAAAATTAAACGTGAGGATTTTATGGGCATGTGAGGCGCCCCGTAATGCAGCGGCAGGCACTTAGTAAACACTTGCTAAATGTTAGTAATTACCATCATGTTCTCAAAGGAATTTGCAACCACCAAAATTTAAGAGCCACTGACCTAAGGCACTTTTAGAATTATACTTTAAAGAAAAAAAATCGGTTCTTGAGTTGAGAAGTCACACTCAAACCTAATTCTAACAGAATATCCATTAGCAAAACATAGAGCTGCATACTCATAATGAGGGAGATAGGCCTGGTAAATGGCTCTGAGAATGTGGAAGGCCAATTTGTGGTGTTCTTCCATGGGAGAAAAAGGATCTACCTTGTCCTGGGTTAGCCCCCAAATGAAACACTGTCAGTCTGCACTGGACTGCTGTACCATCCAAGTTCCTCTTGAAACTTTGAAACAAACTTTCAAGGCCAACAGCTTAAATTGCAACTCTGCATTTGCGGATGCTCTCTCTGCACTGTCTTCTTTAATTAGCGTGGAAGTCAAAGTTACAAAAGCATCGAGATTCTGCATATCTTTTAATGAAAGATAAAACAACAATATAAACATACACAAATTTACAGAGAAGGGATCAACTTTAATACATTTGGAGTAAAATGTGTTTCTTATTTAAATATGGTATAAAAATAAATGCAAGAAACATTAACCGAGAGTGTATAGACAGCAGAGAAAGACAGGAGGTTGTTTCTGACTGTGAATACATCGGTGAAATGAAAACTTCTCTGCTAATTTATCGTTTAATAAATGTGAAGCCATATGTATACTTATTGATATATGCTTTTTTCTTTTACACTTCTTCCAGGTTGTGACGGACTGAATTTTCAGTGCACAGTGTCTAGCAGAAGCTTTAAGAGAAAGAGAGAGGGGGTGGGGGTGGGGAAAGGTCTACTTCACTTGAACTTATTAAAAAGGAAAAGACACAGATCCAGCTTAGTACAAGGAGGAAGTAAGCAGACAACATTTTGAAATGGAGGCATTGAGATGGTAGAGTTCCTTGGAGATGACAATCCCTTAATGCACACAAAGAAAGAACAATTCAGGTCCTTTGCTCATGCAACATCTTGGTCTAATGTCCTTTGCTCCGGGTAACAACATAGAGCTACAAAGTATATGCAATGACTCCAGTCTGCTTCCATGCTACAAGATGATCCTTTTAGTAAGACTGAACAAGGCTTGTTAACCTCTTTGATGTGAGAGATTTCCCCTGAGGAAAAAATATAAAACAAGGAAAGAATAAAGAAAACAGAGTCTGATCACTGAAAACCTGCTTACAAGTAGCATCTATTTATTGCAGCGGATTTTTGCACAAGGGTCAACACAGAACCCTTTAGGTATACCTTAATTCAAACTTCATCACCAACTTCCCTCCCTCCCTCCGCCAACACATCAAACAAAATGATCCTCCCTCCTTCCACCCTCCCACCCATCCCACCCACTTCCTCCCCACTGCAAACAGACTGATGGGTTCACAGCACAGATTAGCAAATCATAAAACATGTCCATAAACGTTCCATCGAGGCTTAGCAAGGATGCAACACCTAGGTTCGTGACTGGTTATAAACATGTTACAACAAACCTTAGTAAACCGCTCTGAAAGGTAGCAATGTGAGTGCATTCTTGTTCAATTGCTGGAATTAGAGCTGCATTTATAAACAGCTAGGTATGCAGGGGGTATGATTTAATTAAGTAAAATGCATTTTGAAGGTGTGATTGGTGGAAACTCAAGACTGAGTTTTCACATCCCATATAATCATGGAGAAAAAGGCGCCAATTTTACATCTAGAGATAAAAGTCTCTTTGCTCCCTACTTCAAATTGTAGACATCTCTGTCCTTTCCCATCTGATTTCCTCCAACCCCAGCCCCAGAAAATCCTATATTTTCTGATTTTACAAATTGTATTAATACCTGGAGTACATATTCATTTTTTGGAAATCTTGAAAGCTAACACTGTCTCTATTAATACAAGTACCCTAGAGAGATAAGAACTTTTAAATTTCTTACAGGAATAGCAGATTGTCAATTGCTAATTTCTGTTTCATCTCTCATTTTATATGTTCTAGTATAAAAATAAGATAGTCTACTTATTGAATGAAATTTGTATTTCTCAGAGGATAAAATAATAAAGGAAAATCAAAAGATCTTTTGAGAAACACAATGTGTTAGTAATAAATTAATCACAGCAATAGTGTTGATTTGCTACCTGATGTGGCTCAGAGTTTGATGAAAGGGTGGTGTCCTGTGGGCCACACTAAGAATCATCATCTGTGGCCACACTTTGGGAAAAGGACAATATGTTTAAGATGTGATTAATAATTTCAAAATCAAGCTTTCTTTACACAGTGTACAGTAACTTACAAGGGCCCTTTTGCTGACCTGAATAGCAGCAATGAAAACCAAGCATCATTTCCCGTTAATTGCGGAAAAGCATTCAAGACTTAGCTCTCAGCAACTGACAGTAGAAGATGCAAAGTCTAGCAAAGGTCTTTCTCACTTGGCTATGCTTTGGTCACTTTATGGGAGGAAAAATAATAAAAGAAAAAGCAGTTTGTTAACAAGACACCCTACTTTACATTATATACAAAATATCTTTTGCTTCTTCTTGTCATCACTTCTGTGCCTGTTTCATAATCCATAAAATGAGGATAATAATAGTGCCACCTTTAAGAGGCTTTTCTGAAGAATAATGCAAGTACATTTCTTAAAACTACCCTTGGAACACTCGACGTATCCAGCGTATGTTGGCTATTACCTTACTATATTATTACCATTATTATTATTGTTATATGCTTTTATCAGGACACTGAGATTCAAAGTCACTATACTGACTGCGGAGGGCAGGAAATTGCTTATGAATTGGAAGCTGAAATTATACTGCTTTTCCACCGCAAACCTGGGCAATAGGTTGATCAAATAATGTTGGAATCAAAAAACTACTTTTCTATATTTGAAGACTATGCAATTTCCTATATTTATTACTGTGTTCTTGTGTGCTGTTAATGTAAATGTATATATATGAGCACATATATTTCTTCCGAGGCTGAATAATGTATTTTTAAAAAGTGCGTACTGTTTTTAATGACATTTGTGGGACAGAGAGAACTACATATCGGCTGAGGCATAAGAGTAAGTTCTCATATAGTAGAGGAGGAGGGGAAAGATGCTAACATAAAACTATTTTTTTAACTACAGATTAATGTGATTTAGTAGAAACTATTGGGAAGGAGAACGAAATGGTTACATTGAAACAGGAAGCCGTTTGAAACTTAGATGTAATTACTTTTGTTTGGACTGTGAAACTGTCATCTTTGTAAATGCAATAAATAGCAACATGGTTCTCTTTCTACTTTTTTTTTTCTTCCAAATATCCTGGAAGCTCTCAGTACTTGGGCTTCATTAAAAACAGGGTGAGGGGGCCAGCCCAGAGGTGCAGCAGTTAGGTTCGCAGGTTCTGCTTCGGCCTCCCAGGGTACGCTGGTTCAGATCCCGGTTGTGGACTTAGGCACTGTTTGTCAAGCCATGCTGTGGCGGGCATCCCACATATGAAGTACAGGAAGATGGGCATGGATGTGAGCTCAGGGCCATTCTCTCTCAAAAAACAAAAACAAAACAAAATGGGGTGAGGTACAAGTTTAGCTTGACAGGCTGTTGTCCCAAGAGAGAATTCAAAAACACTCATTCATGGAAATCCCTAGAAAAACACAGGCCTACAGTAAACCTGTGGGTTTGTGATAATAGAAAAACAGATGAACAGAAATGGGAAAATGTATGCATACATCTTAATATAATCACACAATGAAACACTTTGTGTGATATAGACATCAAATACGTAACAGGAATACTCTGCGTATTGAGACAATGAAAAGGCTTTTTGGTTACAACTAACAGTAAGCAGAACTTAAGTGTCCCACTTTGGGGTCAAAGCAAACAGCACAGATGCCCAACCAGTCATCTAGATCTGAAGATCTAATCACTTGGATCATATCTGCAGATAGATCCTGTGCAAATGCTGCTTTGCTCATAAACCGGAAAGAAAAATACGTAGGATCTATTCTAGTGCACAAAGAAATATTGGTTGTTCCTTCTATTGGAAATTCCGAGATTAAAACGAACACTGATCTTTTCTCATCATAGGAAAGGACATATTTGTGTGTCAGTCATTTTGGAACCATCTCTCTCAGGGCAGCTCCTTGCAGGCTGTATGGGATCAGCCTCTGCCAATTATCTTTTCATAATTTTTCCAAGTTGAAGAATCTGAGATATTTTTATAGCTAAGTTGTAAAATCTTAATTCTGGAAACTAAAGGGCTCAAAAAAACACTTACCAATAGCAATTTTTACCAAAATGCTTACAATTGAATTCTGTATGAATGATACTTATTTTTAACCAAACAACTACATATGTGTTATGTGCTTTATATCCATTCTTGTCAGATTCTGAAAGGAAATAGATTACATTGGAAACAGGAAGCCGTAGAGAAAGGCAAAGACAGAAACTCAGAAGAAAATGAAACAAACTCAAGATCCTAAGAGATTTTATAGTATCTAGTTAACGGACAATATGCTAGAAAAAGAAGCACATAATCATTTTCAGGACAAAATAAACCTCAGACTTTAGCTGGTACCTAAGCAAACACAGAGCATCTACCTAATCTATAATATAGTTATCCTGTCAACAAGGAGAGCTTTCTAGTGTCTCACAACAAGACTTCTCCTCCGCCAAACTAGTTCCTTCCCGTCTTAAATGCTGTGAAGAGATTTTGTTATAATTAGGAAAATAAACCCCCCAAACAACCTAGTGTTTGTTCTTTGCTTTTCCAAGTTAACTGTCGATAGTTATGAATTTTGCCTGATTTTTAAAACCATTCTTGGTCTTCAAGTCGTCACACGAAGTTGACAATAAGGAGCCGAGCGTCAGTGGAAATGGACAGGACGGCCAGGCTCTGGGCTCCAGTCTGAGCCCTGGGGCATTAGGGAGAGGGGCAAATTCCACATTCCTGCAGACACGAGTCTATAGAGGACAAGAGAGGAGCTATGCTCGCTTGGCTAAGCCCACTTGCTCTATTACTGCTGTAAAATCACGCAGCAGTCTTTCCCGTTCCATGGGACACTAAACAGACCGAGGAGAAATGAAGGGGTCGAATTTTAGAAGATAGGCATGAAAGAGCTTCAAGAGAAGAGTGGAGGGCTATCCACATTTTTAGACTCAAAAAAAAGAAGTTAACCTCTTAACTCTCGCTATTCCCTTACAGATCCTACTTGTCTGTTCCCTGTCGTTCCCTCCTAGTCTCTCCCAAAAGTCGCTGTAGACTCAGAAGTACATTCTAGAATGCTTCATAGGCTCCAGAGGCCATGGTGAGGGACTGGGAACAAGAAAGAGCAAATCTTGTCATTGCCTTTCCACTGGTGTGTGTGAACCAGTCGTCTGACCAGATGCCCAGCTCCACAGCTATGTAACTGCAAAGAGCTGACGGTGTGTGGTAATGAGATGCTGCTGGACCAGAGAGAGGGTATGCTCTTAGGAGAGGCTAAAGGCTAAAATGTCCCGATTTCATTTATAAATAAAAATACCCTTGCCAGGATTTCAAAATCCTTCATAACCTGGCTTCCCTGGCCTTTCAAAGTCCTCACTGTCTGGGGCCGGCTCTGTGGCCGAGTGGTCAGGTTTGTGTGCTCCACTTCTGGGCCCCAGGCTTCACTGGTTCTGACCCTGGGTGCGGACATAGCACCGCTCATCAGACGACGCTGAGGTGGCATCCCACATAGCACAATCAGAAGACACACAACTAAGATATACAACTATGTACTAGGGGGCTTTGGGGAGAAGAAGAAAAAAAAAAAAGAGGAAGATTGGCAACAAATGTTAGCTCAGGTGCCAATCTTTTAAAAAAAAAAAACCAAACAAAAAATCCCCACAAAGTGCCTACTGTCCTCCGCACCATGGTTCTTTGGCTGGCCTTTGCACCTGCGCTCTCAGTTTGGCTCACCCATCCAGGCATCTACGGTTGGATCCTACTCATTCTTCACAGATGAACTTCCCACCCACGTCATTGTTGAAACCTTCTAACTGCCCCCTAGACTCCGCTGCCGCTTCCCTCTCTGGATGCTGGGTGGAATCAGCACTCTCGCAGTGACGTGCCGTCTTGTGTTGCTCTCTCAGTCACCTGGCTTGGTGAAGCAATTGATAGCTGTTGAAACAACTTAATA